CCGTTATCTTCTCGCGTCCCATTCAACACGTGTATCCGAGTCCCTCGGTACCCGCCCTCTTCGTCTTCAATCGTACCCCCTTGGGAGTGTATCTTCCTTGCCCGCCACGTGCATCTAGCGCAGCCCCTAAAATAAGGGAGCCGAGGACGGATGGAAGGGAGAGGGAGGAGGATGGAGCACGAGAGAGAGTAGCAAGAGGGGGACTAGGAGCAGAAAGCACGTGGCAGAATCAGACGGGCAGATCGGGCGGGTTGACCCTAACAGGCGGGTCGGGAAGGACACCCACAGCGAGAGCGTGATGCCTGAGTGCCGAGGGCGCGACGTTTGAATCAATAGCGAGGAAGTCCCACGCGAGCGCGCGATTTGGGAATGTATTGTGAGGAAGTCTCAGGCGGGAACCGTTATTGCTGCAACTTGGGGCAATGGAGCCAGTTTGAGCTTCAAGATTGTCCCTCAGAGGAAGCAGGGTGCGAGCCCCTGGATGGACACTTCAACTGGTAAAATACACTGTGCGCCGGAGGGGGGGAGCAATCGTGATTATTGCTCAGAAGTTGCTGTTTAGCAACAACAGCAACAGCAGCAGCAGCAACACCAACAGCAATAAGCAGTTACGGATTGTTTGCTCTTGTCTGCTCGCGGGCCAGTCAACCCGTATATTTCAAATTCTCGATACCCACCATTTGAGTCATTGACCGTATCTTTTCGGGGATATACCTATGTGTATGTATGTGTATATATATACATATATCTCCTGCAACGTATATTTCGTGCAGCCCCGAAGGCAGGGGACGAGAGGACGGATGGAAGGAAGGGACAAGGGGAGGGAGGAGGATGGAGCACGAGAGAGAGTAGCAGGAGGGGGGCTAGGAGCAGAAAACACGAGGCATTACCAGACGGGTAGATCGGGCGGGTAGACCCTACTGGGCGGTCGGGAAGGAAATCCACATGAGAGCGTGATTCTTGAGTGTCGAGGGCGCGGCGTCTGAATATTGGCGAGGAGTTCCTGCGCGAGAGCGCGATTCGGGAATAGATTGTGAGGAAGTCTCAGGCGGGAACCGTTGTTGTTGTTGATGTAGTTCGGGGGCCCACAACGCAGTTTGGTGACCCTTCGCCTTCCCTTGTAAAAGGACGGGTGTGAGCCCTGGGAGAAGCAATGTAGTTATAGAAAGCAACGGTTACCGTAGGAGGGGGGCTCAGCAGTAATCGTTCTTTGGGGGGAGAGTTCAACCATCAGTTTAAGATTGTTCGGTCTTTGCTCGCGTGCCACACAACACGCATATCCCAAACAATCGATACCCGCCTTCTTAGTATTCGATCGTACCCCATTTACAGTGCATCCTTCTTACCTACAATGTGTACTACGTGCAGCCAAGGACAAATGGACAGATGGACAGATGGGGAGAAGGGACCAGGGGGAGGGAGGAGGATGGATCACGAGAGGGGGAGTAGCGAGAGTGGGGTTGGGAGCAGGAAACACGTAGCAGATCCAGACGGGCAGATCGGGAGGGTAGACCAACCCTAGCGGGTGGGTCGGGAAGGCGGGTCCAGGCGGCCAGGTCGAGCAGGCTGGTTGCGGAAGCGTGCGACCTGCTTGAATCGCGAGGACGTTTCGAGCGATAGGGCAATTCCCAAAGAAATCGCGAGGACGTCCACAACTGTTGGGGACGCGGCGTTAGTATCCGGCGGGGGCCGCTGTTGTTGCAAACCGGGGGTCAGGGGCGCAGTTTGGTGACAACTCACTTTCCCTTGAGATAGACAGCAGGGTGCGGGCCCCGGGAGAAGCACTCTAATTGAACCATGCAATTGTTAACGGAGAGGAGGGATCAACATTAATTAGTAGGTAAAAAAGAATTCAACGACTGTAATACTTGCAGCAACAACATCGAGAGCAATCACAAACATACTAACAAAAGCAATAACCACAGTAACAACAACAAGCATGCTTTCCTCATGCGCGATGTTTCCACACGAAGCATGCGACCATGATGGTAACGATCCCCATCAAGAGGGACTACGGTTCTATAGCGGGGTGCGATATTCCCATTCCCAGATCTCCCGCCCAATGAGGTCTTGCAAACACCTCCGAGGAGTTTCAACATGTCACGCCTCAACGCATGCCCGCGTCTTGCTGCGCCGATGCGAGACCGCCAGTGGAGCCCCAGCCAACGGTAAAGCACAAGGAAGTATCAAGCGACAGGATTGCCTTGGTGGGGATGGGGGCTGTCGGCGGCGAGGCAAGGACCTGTCCCTGAATAGAAAGGGGGGAGTTTTGTGCAGGGCCGCTGTTGTTGCTGGGAGCGGCGCCAATGCTGAAGAGAATAGGGCGTTAGTCCAGCGTAAAACAAAACGAAGTCTCGAGCGGGAGCCTTGTTCTTGCTGGGAGCGGCGCCATTTCAAAAGAGAGTATCCAGCGTAAAACGGGAGGAAGTCTCGGGCGGGAGCGCTGGTTTTGTCGGGACGGCGGCGTTCGGCGGCGAGGGGGAGCACCGCCTTCAGTAGAAACGAGGGGAAGTCTCGAGCGGGAGCGTTGTTGTTGTTGTTGTTGGTGTTGTTGGTGTTGTTGTTGTTGTTGTTGTTGGTGGTGGTGGTGGTGGTGGTGTTGTTGTTGTTGTGGTTGTTGTTGTTGTTGTTGTTGTTGGTGTGGTGTTGTTGTTGTTGTTGTTGTTGTTGTTGTTGTTGTTGGTGTTGTTGTTGTTGTTGTTGAACATTATTTATTCTAAAGAATAATTATTGTTGGGCCCCCTGGTGCGCGCCCCCCCTGCGCCGCCTAGGCCGCAGCTACATTTTCATCATTTTCGTGAGGAAGCCTCAGAAAAGAGGGTGTGTACAGGATCCGGTTGTTTTGTTGTAATCCGCTTTCCCTTGCAAAAAACAATAGAAAATGACATTTCTTGTTCTAATATAATCAAATTTCAAGAATCCCTTGCAAAAAATAAGGTAAAGTGGACATTCGCGCGCGCAAGACGAAATCCTTCCAAAACCTTAGTGTTCGCAGCGATTTTAACATAAAAACATCAAAAAACCAATGGTTTTTCAACAAAAAATTGTCAAAATCTCATCCCGCGCGCTCTTGCGGATTCGTAGGAAACCCAACACTTTTTAAACATTTCTGTCAAACGGGCTTTTGCGAGCAACTTTTTCGAACTTCTGCGACAACGGTTGCGCACCTGCCAGGGCCATCATCCCTGTCAAATAATACCATGCGGGACACATTCGTTTTTTCTTCGCGCGCGCACGCCGAAATCTCCAAAAACCATTGGGCTTCTTAAGAATTTTAGCACCGCGCATCATAAAATCACACGAATCGCACCGTAGGTCCTCGAAAAACACCTGCGTTCTTGCGGGCAGTCCCAGTATGGCAATGTCATGGATTACCAGGTGGATCTGCGTATGCCGGCGCATGTCCAGGGCGTCCTGGCGGTATTGGCGCCCCTCGCACGCACGGGCGATGTATCCGTGAGGAGGCGTATCGGCACCATGCTTGGACACTTGGCCCCTGATGTATTTCTGCCAGGAGCCCAGCTGGCAGCATTGCGCCCCATCCGTGCCATCAGGGACGGGCGTATGCCAGAAGATGACGAGCACACGAACTCGTCTCTTTAGAGCCGCGGCGGGGAAAAGACGGTGGGTGGGCGTGCAAGCGCCGTTCCCGCCCCTCCTCTCTCTTCTCTCCTTTCCTCCTTGTCCTGCTCCTCCTCCTCCTCCTCCTCCGGCGGGGGGCGTGAGGATCCGGCATCGCTCACAACCATCGGGACAACCATCGGGACAACCATCGGAACAACCATCGGGACAACCATCGGGACAATCATCGGGACAGTCATCGGGACAACGATCGGGACAAGCACAACCATCAGGACAACCATCGGGACAATCATCGGGACAACGATCGGGACAACCACAACCATCAGGACAACCATCGGGACAACCATCGAGACAACCATCGGGACAACCATATCCTCTCTCTCTTGTGTATTCCCACATCCCTCAGGAATTTGCCCTAAAGATGTGATCAACTATCTTGTGAGTACGTATCATGTGTATCATGTGTATCATGTACCATATGCATCATATGCAACAGATGTTCTGTGGAAGGCTTAACAACTTCTGTGGGTTAACAAGGCTTAACAACTTCTGTGGGTGTACGAACGTAGGCTTAACAACTTCTGTGGGTGTGTACTCCACGCCAGTGTAGTAGCCACGGTCGTCCGCAGGCCACGAAGTGAAGTGTCCGAACGTCATAGGGCGGGAAGCTGGGTGTGGGTGGTGGCGAAGAGTCGTGTGGATATTTGGTAGAGCTTGCACTGCCCCCCCACAAAGTGGGGGTATTGGCTGGCGTCGCATGAAAACCCTGGCACTGGTGAGAACACTGAGCGTTCGGGTAAAGTGATTGTTGTTGTTGTTGTTGTTGTTGTTGTTTGGGGCGGCGCCGATGAGAGAAAGAGTAGCGCGCCAGTCCAAGGTAAAACGGGGGGAAGTCTTGAGCGGTAGCGCTAGTTTTGTTGGGACCGCGGTTTTCGGCGGCGAGCAATAGCACTGGCCCTGAGTAAAAAAGGAGGAAGTCTCGAGCGGCAGCGTTGTTGTTGTTGCTGTTGTTGTTGTTGGTGGTGGTGTTGTTGTTGTTGGTGGTGTTGTTGTTGTTGTTGGGGGGGCCGGTTTGGCGCCCCCAAAACCGCTCCAGCGTGAGCCTCATTTTCAATGAACATGTAGCTGGCGCCGAGGCGAGAGCGTCAAAGCGCCCGGGGGGTCCAACAATAATAGTTGCTTATAAATTAGCATCCAAGAAGAACAGCAATAACAACAACAACATCAGCAGCAACAACAACAACAACAAACACAAAAACAATAACAACAGCAGCAGCAGCAACAACAGCAAAAACAGCCACACCAACAACAGCAACAACACCAACAACACCAACCAACCAACCAACCAACCAACCAACCAACCAGCCAACAACACTACAAAACAATCGAAAAGCAAGCAACAGCAGCAACAGACTGAGGCGCGGTGGGCGTGCCCGATGGCCACGACCCGATGAGCCTCCAGCGGGGCCAGGTGGCCCAGAACGCCACGCTGTCTGACATGGGCCGCGTGGGCGCCGAGCAACTCCTTGAGGCCAAGCTGCGGATGCAGGCGCCCCGGCTGCGCGCAGAAGGAGAGGGCTTGAGCATGCTCGCGTCGTGAAGCATTGGGCGTCGCGCAGTGGGGAGGCGATACAGTCGGACCTAGGTATAAGACCGAGGTCGGTTCGGGGAGGGTGCCATAGTCTTTTTCGTGTTTGCTTGATGTTCTCGTGTACCCTGGGGAGGGTACCCTTGCATGTTCTGTTGGTTTTGGCCGACGGAGGGTCTCATGTTCTTGAAGGCTCCTCCTCTGGCCTGGGTCCGACTGTGCTGTACATGGGGGGCAGCGAGGGGTGCAGAAAATGTGCCATTCAGGGCCCCTGAGGGGGACCGTTGGGGCCCAAAAGGAGGCCTCTAGGGCCCGAGAATTGCACCTTTCTCTTCCACCCCCCCATCTATCGCCCCCCCTTTTAAGCGACGCCCGAAGAACTCGACGCATGGTTTTGGCAGGTTTGGGCCTCTGGGTACCCTCCCTGGTCCCCGGCACCGGTCACAAGCCGATGCGGGATCAAGACTTCCAGAGGCTTGCTACGAGGTGTGAAGGCGCCCCGCGATGGTTCAGACAGCCCTCGTGCTGTTAGCGATGCGGTGCGATGAAAAACTGGCCCTAGGGAACGGGTCAGATACAGTCGGACCGAGGTAGAAGATCGAGTTCGGTTCGGGGAGGGTGCCCTAGTTGTTATTCTTCGTGTCTGTTGGATGTTCCTGTGCATCGCATCCTGGGGAGGTCGGCGACTCGAAGATAGGGGGGGGGGGGGATGGGCGGCCGGGGGGGGGGGGCAGGGCGGCGATGGGGGCGGGCCCGCGCCCCGCCCCCTTGCGGGCGCCCTGCCCCGCCCTCGGAGGAGGAGGGGGGGGAGGGGGGGCCTCCCGGAGCGAATCGGCGGCTCGAGGGCGGGGGCCAGCCTGGGGCCCGCAGGGCCCCCTCCGCGGCCGGGGGGCGGGGGGGGCGGGAGGGCCCGGAGCACGAGCGGCCTCGAGCAGGCGGGGGTGGGAGCCCGCAGGTCCCCCGGCCCCCCGAGAAGTGTTCTGCGCCTCGGAGGGCGCGAGGGCGTGCCTCTGCGCGGCCCCGCCGCCTGCGGAGGAGGGCCTTCGCTCGCCGCCGGCGGACGCCCCGCCCTGCGCCGTCGCAGGCCGGGCCCTCCAGCAACGGGCGCCGATACAGGCTCGGCATCGCTCGGACGTGTGCGTGTTTTGTTCCTCGGGGGGGCCATCGAGGAGCATGGTGGGCCACCTTGCGACAGAAAAACACGCACCAAGTCGACCCCTGCACATGGAGTGGACGTCCGAGCGATGGCCAGTCAGGGCCTCACACGACTGAGATTTGTCCCAGGGGCCCAACTCCTGTCCTTAGGGCTCTGCTGTGATGGTCCAGCCGACCCTAGACTTGGTCACCAGAAAGAACTTCGGGCATCAAAAGGAGTATCGAAACTGGACGGTTTCCACGTGTCGGGCCCGGGAGGCGATACTCGTTCGGCACTACGCCAGCGTGGCCAGACATTGTTTCGATATTCCTCGGGCTGCTCGTAATTATTTCTGGGATGTGGTCCTTAAGTACGATGGGGACAACATAACCTCGGTCGAAGGATTGATTGCTTGCTGCTGCTGCTCTCTTGCGAGCTGTCTTCCACATGTTCCTCCGTTCCGCAGGCTGTTCACTCAGCCCGCACAGGAAGCACGAGCGACTTTCCAAGGTTAACCTTGCATCATTCCCCTTCGGCCCATCCTCAGCCGCTTTCGCCGGCCGCGCCCCGCCCGCAAAGTGTTGGCATGGCCTTCCAAGGCCCTTGCACCCCAACTTCCGCCACAAAAGAATATACACAGACACCCTCCAATGGATTGTTCCTGGGCCTCAGGGGACGGTAGCGGTGCAGACATCACCCCTGTGAGCCAGATTGATATTACCGCCCTCCCTGAAGGTGCCTGCAGAATTCGTCGGAGGGTGCTTGCGTAGAAATCCCCGTGGCATGTTGCCGTGCGTCTTTTTTCGATGGTTAAGTCGGGCCTGTCCCTCTACAGGAGGAATATTCAAGAATAGTAAAACAATACTCCGGGGACGATTTGTTGAGCATCTTCTGCCTATTGTTCAGTATGTTTTGCGGTAGTTCTTATTTTTCGTACAAAATCCCCCTTTCAGGGGACAAGCCCGACTTATTTCTTTGGGTTGACTGCAGCGGGACACGGCCACCGTGCCGACCGGGCGTGCCGTGCCCTCCCTCGAGGCCCCAGCCCTCGGGAGGCCCCGCCTCCGAGACCCGCCGCCGGGAGGCATCCGGAGAGTGGGCCGATCCCCGCCTCACCCCGCCAAGCTCCCCCGCGAGCCGCCGCGAGTCGGCCACGCGCAAAGGGCGGGGGGGAGGGGGAGGAGGAGGAGGAGGAGGAGGAGGAGGAGGAGGAGGAGGAGGAGGAGGAGGAGGAGGAGGAGGAGGAGGAGGGAGGAGGAGGAGGAGGAGGAGGAGGAGGAGGAGGAGGAGGAGGAGGAGGAGGAGGAGGAGGAGGAGGAGGAGGAGGAGGAGGAGGAGGAGGAGGAGGAGGAGGAGGAGGAGGAGGAGGAGGAGGGGAGGAGGAGGAGGGGGGGGGGAGGGGGAGGGGGAGGGGGAGGGAGGAGGAGGAGGAGGAGGAGGAGGAGGAGGAGGAGGAGGAGGAGGAGGAGGAGGAGGAGGAGGGAGGAGGAGGAGGAGGAGGAGGAGGGGAGGGGGAGGGGGAGGGGGGGGGGAGGGGGAGGAGGAGGAGGAGGAGGAGGAGGAGGAGGAGGAGGAGGAGGAGGAGGAGGAGGAGGAGGAGGAGGAGGAGGAGGAGGAGCGGGGCAGCCTTCTCAGAAACACCCCGGCTTCTTAGAAGGCGCGGGCCTTGTCTGCAGCTGTAGTAGTGCCAGCGCCCCCCTCCTGCTAAGAAGCCCTCTGCTCAAAAGCCTTCCCCCCTCCGCCTGCCCCCCTTGTGCACGCCGCCCAGTGAGGTGGGGGACTGCCTGAAGAACGGCGACGTCAGCGACCACGGCCACGCCTCGGGCGCCGCCGACCCCGACGTTTTCAACAGGCCGTGGACTCACGACATGCACACGGTTCAGGACTCGGAGGAGTGGGGCGCGCGGGCGCCGTACGAGATGGCAGCGCCGGGCCAGAGGGTCAAGGCGAGCGGCGCACCAAGACGCGCGGGAGCACTCCCGCGCGAGTTGCCCGCGTAAGGTCGCCAGCCGGCACCCCTGTTCTTGACGCGGAGCGCCGTGCCAGCGGCCGGCGTTGGCCACCACGGTAGGATCGCCGCGCCCTCGCGAGCAGGGGCGTTGTTCGCTCGCTGCTGAGGTTCAGAGCGTGAATTACCTACCCCGCTTTCGCTTCCAGGCAAAACCAAGTCATACCACGCGCCTCCTCGTCAAGCGGCTTCACCAGTACAGGCCGTAGTTTGGCATCGCTTGATATCTCTTGGAAGCGAGGGTGGTCAAAAGCGAGGTAGGTTTGTTTTCCCCCTACAGGTGGCCTTCCTGATGTTCGCCAATGACCACATCGACAACGAGGACACCTGGACCTACTGGCTGGAGCAGGCAGGGGCGGCGGACCTGCAGTTCTCCATGTACGTCCACGCGTACGGCCTGCCTCCCCGGGGGAACTCGACCTGGAAGAGCCCCTCCTTCACCCCGTACCTCCTCCAGCAGCAGGTGCGCACGACCTGGTGCCAGATGTGGGAGGCCCAGATGCTTCTGCTCGAGAAGGCCGTGGCCGACCCCACCAACACGCACTTCCTGATGGTCTCCAGCGACTCGGTGCCCGTGAAGCCGATGAAGTTCATCTACTCCGAGCTGTCCAGCAGGCCCCGCTCGAAGTTCTGCGTCGACGACTACTGGCGCAAGCCGTGGCCGCGTGCGGAGACGTGGGCCGTGCTCCGGCGCGGGGATGCGGAGTTCTTCGTCGAGAACAAGAAGTTCGCGACCAAGCACTTCCGGCGCGACTGCGAGGAGGAGACTGCCTGGTACTTCCCGCTGAAAGCGCGCTGGGGCTCCCACGGAGACGTGGCCGCTGTCGACAGGGAGTGCATCATGTTCACCAACTGGAAGGACGGCGAGAAGGCCTGCAAGGATCACAGGAGGAAGGCAGACTGGTACCGATACCCTTGCTTCTTATTCGCGATTGGGCGCCTCCTGGGCGGCACTCGTCGCAACGGCTGGATTCGCAGACAGGAGAGATCCAGAGCATACCGGTATCTTGGCCGGCAGGTGACGCGGGTGAAATAGCCGTGGGATGGAGAATGGTGCACCTTTCCAGCACCTTGCAGAGCCGGGGTGGCAGCTTAGGGTCACTTACGGGTGACTTCGCAGCATTCTGGCTGCCCCGACATTTATTGCCCCCTGGTTCACATCCGCCCGAGTATTGGTATTCCTGTGCTCCCCCCGTAGGAGGAGTGGTCAAAGAACGCTGACAAGTGCAACTGCCCACAGCTGCGCCAGAAGAGCGAGAACACGCCGGCCGGCTTCAAGCACCCGGTCGTGTACCACAAGATCCCGTCGGCCGGCTTCGAGGAGCTCGTGCGGTCTCCCTTCTGGCTCTCGAGGACGGCCGAAATTGGGCTTCGAGGAGCTCGTGAGGTCTCCCTTCTGGTTCTCGAGTATGGGGCACTCCAGCAAGGGCCTCGCCTCTGGAGAAACGAGGCGAGGAGTTGTCCTCTTGTCCCCGGGAAGAGTAGAGCGAGGCGGGTTTCGCACGCGGAAGCCCGCGGAGCCGGCGGAAGCAGAAGTCGCACCCCGAAGAGATGGCATATGTTTTGGGGGCCCTGGACTCTGGACGCCCGAGATGGGCACGGAAAGCATGGGTACAATGCCCAACAGCAGTTCTTGTCCACTTTGAACAGGACTCGCTGTCCGCGCCGCCGCGGTCTGTGTCCATTCGAGACAGAAGGCCGCCTGCCCAACAGCGGCCGCTGTTGGTTTGGGACAACATTTGTTTTTGGGCATTGTACCCATTCTTTCCGTGCCCATTTCGGGCGTCCAAACTGGACTTCCGGAGTCGACCATTTTGGTGCCAGAGGATCACGCGGCGTCGACGTTGCATCCACGAGGCAGCGCGATCTGAAGCCAGACCTCCTCTATCCCGCCCAGGCCCCCGAACCGAGGGCTTCTGGGTAAACCAGGGCACACATGCGCGCCCGAGAAAATTGCAGGCCTGGGTCGAAACATTCTCCACGATACGTTGTCTTCACATAAAAATGTTCAATGTCCTGGTTTGCAGCGTCCAGGTCCAGGGGGCCCTGAACCCGATGCATCGTCGATGCGGTGCCATCCTCCAGCCCAGTCTGCTCGGACCCCCTTTTGGAACGGCCTCCAGGTTTGCCCGCAAGATCAGCGACGGGGCGCTGGCTGCCGACGTCCAGGACTTGGGTGTGGCCAGAGGTGCCGCTGGCCCAGGTGGCACCCCTCACGAGGCCCAGAGGGCCTCACCTCGGCGTCGAGCGAGGGGGGGGAGAGACCGGGCGGGTAGAATCAGAAGGCTCAGAAGCTCTCTAAGCCTCTTCCCGAAGACACGGAAACCTTCTCGGAAGGCACGAGGGTTTCTGAGAAGCCCCGCCGCCTTCTGAGAAGGCCTTCTCCTTCTCACTTCCCCGCCCTCGCTCACCGCCGACGGACGCTCCGCCCTGCCCCGTCGCAGGCTCGGGCCCCTGGGCCGCTTCCAGCAACGGGCGTCTTGCTACAGGCTCGACGTCGCTCGGACGTGTGCATGTTCATTCCTCGGCATCCTGGAGCAGCTGGCGGAAACACGCACGCAAAAGTAGCCGAAGCGTGCACGGGGAAGGGACGTCCGAGCGGCGGCGAGCAGGGGCTTCTGCCCACCCCCGACCTCCGAGGCTGCAGCAGGGTGCGAGAAAAGCTAGGGGCCAGGCGCACCCGGCCCTCCTTCGCCTCCAGCGGCGCGATCTGCTTGTTTCGCGACGGGGGTACCCGCGAGGGCCTGGACACTCGTCCCTGGAGCCCAGACTCTGATCCTGAGTCGTGGTGTTGGGTCGGTTGCCTCGGTGCGCCCGTCTTCATTTGGATGTGCCTCGAATGTTTACGGCATCCTCTTTCGGAGTGTGAAAGACGGGGTCTGCGGCAGGGGGTCTTGAAGCGCGACGCGTCCCGCATTCAAGGCTTCCGCGTCAATACGCTGCGTGTTGGCTCCACGTGCTGGCCTACGTTCTGTCGTTTGGCATCGCTGCAGGCCTACGTTTTTGCTCTACGAGTTGAGCTCCGTATCAATACGCTACGTCTTGCGTCTTGCGTATCGGGGCAACTACGTTTGTTGATGATCACTGGGTCGGAAGCGGCCTCCAGAGCCCGAATACGTTGAAAGATCTGATCGCCGCGAGCCCGGATCTGAGGGTTCGACAGCCCGTGGAGGACATGCTGCACGAGAATTTCACCAGCAAGCCGGCTCCGAAGCGCAGGCGCTGGCGCATCTTCCGTTGAATGGGTGGCGCACTCCTTGCCGGCGCTTTGCCGCGCTTGCTGTTTCTTGTGGCTCCTCTCTCGCCGTCGTCGTCAATCTTTCCATCACCTTCCTTCTCCTGCCCCCTCCTGCTCCTCCTACGCCTCCTGTGTAATGTAATGTAAATGTAAATGTGTGTGTAATGTATATATATATATATATATAAATATATGTGTGTGTCCTCTCCCGTTCGAACCCCGAGACGTGTCAGTAGGGAGGGCCAGGCGTGCGGCGTGTCGCCTGAGATGTCCTGACCACTTGTGATCTTGCAGCCTCCAAAAATGCAGCATTTTCACTAATGAAGGGCGGATTTTTTTGAACACGTAGTTCTCGCTTTGGCGTCGCGAACATTCGCTGTAAAAGTTCGCAGGAGTGTCACGGATAGGGGGCGGCCCGTTTTCAAAATGTGATTCTCGCTTTAGCGCCGCGCTCAATCGATTGAAGGATCGTTAGAGTTTCACGGACTGCGTCTCGGTTTGAGATTGTTGTTCTCGCTTGGGTGCCCGCGCACATTCGCTTCCAAAGTTTGCAAGAGGTTCACGGATGGAAAAGTGTTCTGTTTCAAAATGTGGCTCTCGGCTTAACGCCACGCGCATTCGTCCTCAGTGTTTACAGCAGTTTCTAGGATTATGGTTGACGTCTCAGAAATTGTGTGTTGGCACGATGTGGGATGGTGTCCTGCCACGGTTCAGTATCGTGCGGACGCAGCAGTCACGTTGACTCACGGCGTTGAAATCCCAGAAATTGTGGCTTGGCGCGTGCCGGGAGTTTCAGACGGTTGTCTTCCAACGGGGCAATTTCTTCAGCCAACAGGAATTCATGAAGAGGGGACTTGGAGGGATTGTTTGATGCAACATCGTTGATGAGTTTGGGGTCCATACTGGTCCTCCTGCTCCTCCTCCTCCTCCTCCACATGCTCTTCCACATCCTGCTCCTGCTCCTCCTCCTCCACCTGTTCTTCCACATCCTGCTCCTCCTCCTCCTCATCATCCCTCCTCCTTCTTCTTCTTCTTCTCATCCTTCTTCTCCACCTTCCAGTGTCCTCCTCCTCCCTCCCCACCACCACCACCTCTTTCTCCTCCTCCTCCCTCCATCCCTCCCTCCCTCCCACCTTCCTCATCCCCCTCCCTCCCAACTCCGTCTTCCCCTCCTCTTCCTCCTCCTCCTCCTCCTCCTCCTCGCCTCCTCCCCTCCTCCTCCTCCTCCTCCTCCTCCTCCTCCTCCTCCTCTTCCTCCTCCTCCTCGTCCGTCTGCTCCTCCGCCTTCTCCCTCTCCTCCTCCGAGTCCTCCTCCTCTTCCTCCTCCTCCCCCTCTTCCTCCTCCTACCTCTGCTCCTCCGCCTTCTCCCTCTCCTCCTCCGAGTCCTCCTCCTCTTCCGCCTCGTCCTCATCCTCCGCCTTCTCCCTCTCCTCTTTCTATTCCTTCCCCTCCTCTTCCTCATCCTCCTCCCTCTCCTCCTCCTCCTCTTCCTCCTCCTCCTCCTCGTCCTCCTCCTCCTCCTTCTCCTCCTCCTCCTCCTCATCATCATCATCATCAGCATCATCATCAGCATCATCAGCATCATCATCATTATCCTCCTCCTCCTCCTCCTCCTCCTCCTCCTCCTCTGCCCCATTTTCCTCTACCCATCGCTAGGCATGCCTGGGCGTGCTGGTGTTTTGTAAGGCCTGTCTGCTAGTGGAGATGCGCGCTGCAGCGACAGCACCCAAGACATCTCGATCTCAAGTTCCAGTCGACCCTCGTTTGCGGGCGGCGGGTCGTAGGCCGGGCATCGGGCTACCGCGACGTTTGCCAGCTCTGCAGCGGTGGCCACGCCTCCCTTCACGTTTGCGACCCTGGCCGTGAGACGTCCCAAAAACATCCCCGCCTCCCTCCACCGGGTCTGACGACAGCGAGATTGGGACAGCGGGGAACACGAGATCTGCTGCACGCAGCTGGTTTCGGCACCGCCGAGGGGCCCACATTCCTCGAGGCAAGGTCGCCCCGGGCATTGGGGAGGCGCCAAGAAACCAGTTGCGTGCAGCTGGTTCGAGAACCCCTCCCCCTTTGCCGCTCCCTTCTCCTATTCGTCCGGACCGGCTCCAGAGCCTCCGCGAAGCGTTTCGGGAGACCATCTAAAGGCTTTTTCGGCACCCTGGAGGCAAGCCTGCCGTCACCACGCCCCTCCATGCTGATTCTGCTCCTCGCCTGTTTCCCCTGCTCCTGGGACCTAGAACCTTCTAGAACCAACCAGCCCTTCCTTCAACCTATGACCCATCCACCACAATCCGCGGAACCCTGGAAACCCTAGAGGACTTCATCAGAACCCCATATAATCAATTGACGTCCTTTCCTTCTTCGCAACGTCCCTCCTGCCTCTCGTATTCCTTACTCGCCCGCAAACTGATATGGATGCCTCTCGGGGGCCCCTTGGAGGCGTCTCAGGGGGCCCCTTGGAGGCGTCTTGGAGGCCTCTTGGGAGCCTCTTGGCGACTCCTGGAGCCTCTCGGGGACCTCCTGGGGCCTCTTGGGAGCGCCTCGTGAGCCTCTGGGAGGCTCTTGGGGCCATCTTGGGGCCGAAGGCTCGCAATGTCCGTTCGGGCCCCTCCTCTGGGCCCCCTCTTGGGGCCAAGTTGGAGCCCTCTTGGGCCGTCATGGGGGCCGTCTTGGCGCCCTCCTGGGCCGTCTTGAAGCCCTCTTGGAGGCCTCTTGGACAGTCGTGGTGCGATTTCGGGGCCCCTTGAGCAGCCTTGGAGCATCGGGAAGCCGAAAAGGCGAGAAGGACTAAATCTTGCAAAACGTATGAAACATCCATGTGCTCTGCCTCTTGGGACCCTCTTGGGAGGCCTCGTGGAGGCCTCTTGGGGCGTCTTGGAGGCTTCTTGGGCCGCCTGGGGGCCATCTGGAGCGGCGCGGAACAATGTTTTCGCGACTCGGAGCCTTCTGGGAACGTCTTGGCGGCCTCCTGGGGCGCTCGTGGGCCGTCTTGGTGCCCTCTGGGCCCCGAGCAAGTAACGTGACAAGTGGCGGGTGAGCCCAGGAGGCACGCGGCCAGCCCCAGGAGATTTGAGAGCTGGGGGCTCGGGCCCTTTTGAAGTAATGCTCAGGATTGAGGACTGAGGCCCATTGCTTGAGGCAGAGGGCCTGAGGACATACCATCTCGTGCCTCCAGGCACGGTGGCGGAGCTTGCATTCGAAGCAGGCCTGCCGGTATGCAATACACCCGGCCTTGATACTGTTCTGGCGATAGAGCCACAAGCAACGTCATACTTATACATGTATGTGTACATGTAGGGGTGTGCGTATGTGCACGTATATATATATATATATATATATATGTAGGTACGTACACGTATATTGAAAGATGTATAGATATACATGTACGAGCAGTGCGGTGAACGCTAAGCAGTGCAAGCTATGTGGGGTAAGATGTACTGTGTAAGGTATGCGTCGTGAGCCACTCGATGCGAGCCCGCGGGCTGCGAGCCGCGCGGCACAGGCCATGCGCTGTGAGCTGTGCTGCAGAGGCTCCTGTGGTGCAGGCGCACGGGGGGGCCCCACGGGGCGCCCGGCCTCGGGGAGGCCACCCGGCCCACGAGCGGGCACGGGCGCCAGCGGGGCGAAGCCGTGGGCAGCCCAGGCGCCCGCGAGGCGCCCGCCGGCGGGCACGGGCGCCGGGGTGTCGAAGCCCCAGAGCACCCGCCGTATGGTGCGAGGAAGCCCAGAGAGAACCCCTGAGTGCCAGCACTGCTTGGGGAATCCATAAGCGTCCGTATACACTTTACACACACATATATACACATGTATGTGTAAGCATGTCTACCTGTGATTGTGTGTACAGATTGAATGAATGTACAGAATGAATGTACAAGTACATCCCTCACGACCAGGAGCGGTTAGAACTGATATGAAATCACCAGTGCTGATCGGAGAAGCTGCCTTTTGTACGACTTTTGCGTGGATGCCCTCGCAGGGAAACCCAGAGCAGAGCATTATGTTTGTAGGCTACGCTATGCCCGGAAATGGATGATCGAAAGTGTAAGCATTTTTCAGGGCAAGCTACAATCGAGCCGACCATTGAGAAACGCATGTTTCCTTGACTGCGTATGCGCAAGACTGTGAGGACAGGGTTAGCCCAGCGCTTGCTCAGGAAACCGTCTGAAGGCTGGCCGAGAGCTCTTATGAACGGCTCGTTTCTTGATCGTTGCGTCTGCTGTAGTAAGCCACGCCCTGCGACGCACCGAGACGACAAGCGAGCCCCAGTATAGTCCACACGACAAACAAGACATCGACCTGCCAGCAGGTGCCCCGCATCACTTCACTTCCTTATCTTACGATAAGCCCCGGGTGGCACAGAGGCTGTAGGGCATCTCGGGTCATTCAAACATCGACGAAGAACGTGCCCAACGATTTCCCTTTAGGAAGGCGTCTTGTCGTACGTGTCAACTGAACCATCAAAGCTCGAAGCGGCTCTGGAAGCAGCGGTGGACCTGTTGGGTGCCACAAGTCGTGCGGTCTTGACGTGCACGTCAGGTAGATGTGCACTCGCGTGCCTTCGGAGCGAGGCCTGCCAGATCGTCAGCACCACCCGCCGGATCCGCACGCCCCGTAAGCATTTGATTCGCGGTCGAACTCGGATCAGAACCGGCCCATGACAGCTGGCGGGGAAGTGGGCGAAGAGCCACATATAGTGCAACATAGCCGGCAACCAGGGTGAACAGAGATCTCTGGGAGCAAAGGGGTGGCCTTGGAGGGCCTCTTCGGGCCATCCCTGGGGCCCGCTTGGGGGCGAGGGAAAGAGAGGAAGAGGGAGGAGGAGGAGAACGACGACGACGATGACGACCACGACCACGACCCCGACCACGACCACGACCCCGACCACGACCACGACCACGACCACGATCACGACCACGACCACGACCACGACCTCGACAACGACCTCGACCACGGTCACGACCACGACCACGACGAAGAGGAAGAGGAGGAAGAGGAGGAAGACTGT